AGCACCATCTCCCCTGGAGAGGGCGACAGTGGGGAGTGGGTGCGAGCCAGGATTCAGCTGATTTCTGTTTTGTGTCCTGTTCCAGACACTGCATCTCTCTTCTTTTTAAAATGTATTTAGAGCCACCTCAGAGTTAGCTCCTGGGGTCGGGAGCTGCGGGGTTAGCTCCTGGGGTCGGGAGCTAACCTCACTTCGGCTCCTCCACTAATTGACTGACTGACTGAAAGAAAATCCATCGGTTAGTTGATTGAGCTAAATTTAACATCCCTAGTCCGGATGCTGCTTGTCTTCCGGGTCCTTGAGTTATCCCCCGGTACGTCCTTGTGTAATCCGTGGGCTTTCTCTCTCAACATGAGCGAGAGTCCTTCCCGTCTCTAGGAAGTTGGAGGCAAGTGACTTAGTCTAGATCCAGCCGCCCCAGGTGCTGGTGTGTGAGCGGGGAGGAGTCTGGTGTGTGAGCGGGGAGGAGTCTGGTGTGTGAGCGGGGAGGAGTCTGGTGTGCTCCCAAGTAGGTGATTCATTTAAATCTGTGCATCTGGTTCAGCTCATGCTCTCGATTTGCCATTTGGAAGCTGGCCCCTCTCGCGGAGATAGTGACTCACGCTAACCGAAGCAGATGCTCCAGTTTGTTTTCCCCTCTTGTCCTTGGGGAGGTGGGTGTGTGTGTGTGTGTGTGTGTGTGTGTGTGTGCGCGCGTGCGCCCGCGCCCGCCCGCCCGCCGTGGGCCTGGGCTTTCTCCTGACTCTGCAGGGCCGTGCCAGAAAGTCACGTTTGCCACAGTCGCTCATCTCTCAGACTTGGGGCTCCTGGCCGCTGGTTATCAGCAGCCCACCCTCCCGGGCTGTCAGAACAGCAGTCATGGTCTAGTTCTCTGCTGGCATAGTACCAAGTCCAGCGCAGGCGGTCAGGTGAATGAGTTCTAAGGGATTGGGCCATTCATGGTAGAGCTGCTATCGCGCTCTGTCTTCCCTGAGAACCGCTCCGCTAATGGCTCCCAGTGCATGGGACGCAGCCCCAAAAGGGGGTAATGGCCACAGCCAGGTTGGGTGGCGCTCTGCCTGGCAAACGGGGTGTCCTGAAATGTCCAACTACCAGGTCCTGGGCATGAACCACCGGATGAGTCGCTCAATAATTGCCGTGCTCTGTTGGAAGACAGGATTTTGGACTTGGTGGACCAACATGGCCGTCGTTATGTTTTTCCTCTGCCTGAGCAAACTGATGCAGGAGTGTTCAGCCCTGCATGTTTGGATGCTGCAGAGCAGGTATCTGAGCGGGGCGGGGCGTCACC